ATGCGTTTTATCATTCTAAATAATCCAAACATATTTGCTAATCATGTTTAAGTGGAAAACGCGTGGAAATTTGGTGATTAGAAGCCAAATTATGAATTTCAAATTCTGACTTTGGAGATAACTTTCAAGGTACCATCTTTAAATCCATGGTGTTCACAGCTCAATGGGTCTTAGGGCATGATTCTTAAAGCATTTAAAAGATAAGGTCACATTCTTTACAATGTGCAAAGAATGAGATCAATTGGATGCTAGAGCTAGGAGTTGTGATGAGTCAAAGTTGAGAAAAAGATGTTGACTTTTTGTACTTAGAAAAATTCTAAATTTTTTCTTCAAAAGTGACCTATAATGTTTTGAGGTCAAACAAGGTCTTCTCCCAAAATTGATCTTTGATTATCGATTCTAGCTTAAGTGGATATCCCAAAGAGAATTGTGAAAAATGAATCACTTAAAATACCAATTATTAAAAAAGTTATGGCCTTGTAAAATTGGTGAAAATTCATGAGGTGACCTATAATCCTCTGAATTCTTTGGGTATCTTCCACTCATTTTCAAGCTTTGCACATAAAAGAAGAGTTGAAGTTCAAATCCTTAAGATAATTGTGGAAACATAATGGGCTCAAGGAGATAAAAGTTGAACAAGTTATGATCTTTTGAAATCACACAATGGAATTTAATGGCCTATCTAGAGGACTTGTAGTCATTCTTCATCATTAGGAATCTTCCACACCAAATTTTCTTGAAACTCTTGAAGTGATTGGTTCATAAGCCTTTAAAGAGAAGCATGTATTTGGAATTACTCAAAAATCTTAAAAGATGAGCAAGATATAGCCCTTAGAAGCTCAAAACCCTAGCTTCTCAAGCACCAAAATAACTTGGAAACCTTTTTCAATTTTGACAAACTTTCTTGCATAATGACTTTTTCCATGTGAATAGATGTTGTTGTGGATGATAATAAGAATCCATAGCAACAATAACCACCTCAAAATATTAAGGGTTGAGAGAGTTATGTACTTGTGATCAAAGAATCAAGAATTTGTCTAATTAGGCCAAACTTCTTCAATCAACCCTTGTATCTTTTGACTTTATTTAACAAATTTAGGCATGATGAATCATAGTATACCTTTTCATGATATTACTTTAAAGTATCTTCAATAATGAAGCTTGAATCTCAATAAATCTTTGTTGAAGAAGGCATGTAAATAAAATCATGAACCTATGAATTCACTTGATGAATGTTTTGTGCCCTCACCTATAACATCATCATTTAGAGCAAACATTCATAGTATTTGTTAGTTAAAAGTTAATCAATACAAAACATAAATGATCACAATATACAAATCAAGGTGCTTGGTGATTCCTCATGAGCAACCCTAAAGATAGGGAGAAGAGCTAAACCCTAGTGTGATCTTGTTGTGATTGAGTTGATATGAGATGATAGAGGAATCTTAGGGGGAAAAATTGGGGACAACACCTATAGAGTATGTATTATATCTCTCCATTAGAATGCCAACCTTAAGCAGAAAGTGCATATCCTTTCCATTTCCCCACTGAACTTATTCCTCGTGGAAGAATTTTGCTTCAGCCTTCCTACCTAGTTCATTACATGGATGGAATTAATCCTCATTTGAGCTCGTTCCTCATTGGGTAGAGTCTTATTTAACCGTTTCTTTCTAGTTTGTTCGTAGACTGTACTTTGGTCCTTGTTAACAATTGATGTCTTGCTTTAAAGATTGGTTTATCCATAACCTTCTTGGCGTTTACCATTGTTAAACTATCACATCTTTGAGAGATGATACTCACTTTTATACCTTTTATTGTTTATCATTGTTAAGCTATCAGACCTTTGATAGATGGTATTCATTCTAATTTTGTGTGTACCATTGTTAAACTATCAGACCTTTGATAGATGGTGTTCACTCTTATATCCTTTTGTGATTAACATTGTTAAACTATCACATATTTGATATATAGTACTAACTTTTATACCTTGAGTTGTTTACCATTGTTAGACTATTAAACCTTTGATAGAATGTGTTCACTCTTATATCGTTGTGGTTATTTACCATTGTTAGACTTTCATACCTTTGATAAATGGTATTCAATCAATTTCTTAGTGTTTACCATTGTTAGACTATCATATCTTTAATAGATGGTATTCACTCTTATATCCTTGTTGTTGTTTGCCATTTTTAGACTATCATACCTTTGAAAGATGGTATTCATGTCCATTCCTTGGTGCTTACCATTGTTAAACTATCAGACCATGATAGATGGTATTCACTCTTTCATAATTTTGGTTATTTACCATTGTTAAACTATTGTATCTTTGATAGAAGGTATTCATTCCACTTTTTGTGTCTACCGTTGTTAAACTATCACATCTTTGATAGACGATACTCTCTTTTATATCCTTTGGTTGTTTACCATTGTTACACTATCAGAACTTTGATAGATGGTATTCAGTCCACCTTTTAGGGTTTACCATTATTAGACTATCACATCTTTGATAAATGGTATTCACCTTATTTGACATACACTACCCATTTAGGCTTCTGTCCTCAATAGGGTTTGTATTCCCACTTCCTCCTCTTGGATTGTCCCTAAATAGAGTTGAGCTTTTACCAGTCATAATATTGATGTCAATCGTCGCCACTAAATTTGTGAGTTGATATTATTAAACATTTCTACCTTTATTTGTGATGTGGTAGTTTATTGTCATCTGTGAGTGAGTGTTATACATGTTCTACCTTCAACCTTTAGTTGGTAGTCAATTGTCATCTCTAAGTCGGTATTGCCCTCATTTATTGAGATAATGTTATCTTGTTTCCTCTGTCTCCTCTTTAGGCATTACCCCATTAGAGTTGAGTCCTCTTTTCCCAGCAGAATTGATCTTTTCTCCAACAGAGTTAAGTTTCTTTCCCCAGTCGAGTTGGTAATCCTCCTAAAGATTTCTCCCTTACAGGCGTGTTGACTTGTTGCTAAGAATTTCCTTATTGATTTTTTACTTTGCATTTTGATTCTTTAACTGTGATTTTAGTTTTCTCTGTTCATAGTTATCCCCAGAGTCATGTCGTTCCGCGATGATTTATTTTCCTGGTGGAACTCTCTTTCTTAGTCTGTCTTGTGTCATAACTCTGTCTATATTATTGTTTTTCCTAGTGGTGTCTTGTTTCCCCTATGGAGTTCGTCTTTTACATTCATAATCATAAGCATTACATGGTATCTTAGGGGCAAAAATAAGGTTTTTTTATTTATTTAAGTATCTTCAATTACATCGACACGAAGATTTTAACCTTCACATCCTCGAATAGAAGACACTTAAATAAGGGCAACTGTTATACCCTGGTTTTACCCCCAAGATCCCTCATCATTCAATATCATTAAATACATCAAGATTACATATTTGGGCTATCACTTCTACTCTCTTCTATATTTAAGTTTTCCCTTGAGGGATCACCAAGTAACCTTAAATTGTGTATCTTATATATGTGTATCTTATGTTTACTATCCTTTAACCAAAATTCAAAAAAGATATTTCTTGTTTCTCTTTATGTTTTGTATGTTGTAGGTATTGATACAAGGGTATTCATCACACTTCTTAAGAAAGGGTTATAAGCTTGAAGTCTCTTCATCAAGAGCATCATCTTAGTATACAAGACATCTTTTTTCAAATATTCTCAAGTTCCCTCAGAGGAATTTGGGTTTTTAAGATGTGCATCTATCTTCTATCTTTTTCAAGTAAAATTAGGGTTTCAGATTAAATTAGTTTATTTTAGATTCTTTAAGAAAAATTGTTTCCATGGCCTTGTATGTGTTCTAAAGTACTTATATGTGAAGTATTGGCCATTCAATTTAATCAGAACAAGCTCAATTGATCAAATGACCAGAGGAATTGATTATATTGGAAAAAGTCAATTGTGCAGAAGAAAAAGTCAACTCCTGACTTTTATGGTCAAACTTGAGTCTCATGAGTCAAATATGGTCATTGGTTAAGATTTGTTTAATAAAAATCAAGAGAATCATTACAAGTCAAAGAAAGTAAAAAATTTCCAAAATTGGATATGAGGGTTTCTGGAAACTTAATATTTTTGGCAAGTTTGTGATTTTTGATCAGCTTTATGCATTTATTTTCGTGTCCAGATTTCCCTATACTAAAGTCTTCATTTGGGTTCACAATCAGCAACAAAGTTACTCTACTCATTGCAAGTATTCACCTGACCCAAGTTTCAACATAATTGGTCTAATAAATATCAAGTTATCATTGATCAAAGTTGGGAAATTCATTGATGATATTAACAAGTTTTTACATGTTTTTGATCAGCTTCAAAATGGTGTTTTCATGGCCACTTTTATCATTGATCAAGGTGTTATTTCAAGACAACTTTATCACCAAATATGTTCTATCCTATTTTAGCTTGCCAATGATTCAAATTTCATCTCTCTTGGTTCACATATTTGTAAGATATCATGAGTTGAAGTTAGGGATTTCAAAACTAAAAATCACTAACACTTAGTGAAAATTGCACTCACTTCACATCAGTTTCAAACACCAACTTTCGTGGCTAAATTCAAGTGTGCTCCAAGCCTCATTTAAAATTTTCCTCAACATTAATTTTATTCACCATTCTTTAAGCTTTCCAAAAAGCTCAAATTCATTTCATTTGAATCACTATTCATTGAGTTATGGCGAATTGAAGTTGGTTGTATGATGGGGTTGAATGGCATAATAATTGTGGATTTTGTGCGTATCCTATACATTTGTTTACAACATGGCTTGCTAAACTCAAAACCACACGCAAGGTACCCTTTTTCTTTGCATAAAGAAGCCAAACAAGAGAAACGTCTCATGCATGCATGAATATTTCATGTTTACTCAAAATGGCAAAAATGTAAGCAACTTTTTTTGGCATAATTCTCTCCCCACGTGACATCACCCATTCACACTTATCTCATACTCTTATGTACTCATCAAATTGCAACAAAAACTCATTACAGTGAGAGAAAAACACATCACAACTAACACACCTCAGTTTTCCCGTTTTCTCATTTTTCCCTCCAACAAACTTTTTCCCCATTCTACCTCACTCCACTCACTCTATATAACTCATTCACTCCCTTTCATTCAAGACACTAATTTTTGGAAAGAGAAATCAGATCTACAACCTTTCTCTATTTTCTCCATTTTTCTTCTTGGAAGCTCTTGCTACTTGGTATTTTCTGTTTCTCCCTTACCTCATTTGTATCATCTAAGGATCATAGAGCAAGTTTTATTGGGTTTCTGGAGATCTTAAAGCAAGAACAAGGGCAGTGGACTCTTACTCCACTTGGTAAGATCTCTCCAAACCCCCATTCTCTCATGCTTAGATATAAATGATGTAAAATTCTATAAACATGTTCATTTATTGCATCTGGAAGTCCTCCAAGAGAGGCGTTGGTTGATCGTTTGAATATTTAATGCTTGTGAAGCTCATTTTCAGTTCTGAATACGTAACTTATTGCTTGATTTTCATGGTGTTTAAGTTTTTTTTAAATCTAAGGTCATGGTCATGTTCTACTATTAGAGTACTGCGATTTAATGGTTTACTTTGTGATTTTTGGTTGAGTTTTGATGATGAAATTAGGGCTCAAAAGCCGCACAAATTCACGATTTTAGGGATTTTATTTTCTGGTTACTTTGCTTAGAGGTTGAAGATAAAGTTTGTCATCCCTCCATTGGTCATGAGAATTTCGTTACACCATCTCTCTCTGCCACATGTGATTCCTCTCTTTTTATTTTGTTTTATTTTTTTAATTAACAGAAAATACGAAAGAATAAAATGAAGGAGAATTTTGATTGGTGGAATCCGTTTTGTCTTGTGGTGACTTAAATGAATCTTGCTCAATTGATAAGAGGTCACATGATATTTGTCACACTTATCATTTTCGGAATAAAAATAAAACAAAATTGAAATAATTGTGCTGCTTGGCAATTGGACCTAAACGCGCACGAGCCTGGCTCTATTCTTTCCACACCCCTCAAATTTTAAGCCCAACACACTTGTTGAACATAACTTAGTTTATTTCTCATTTTTCACTAATACACCCCCACCTTTTGCTTTAACATTTTTTATTTTCTTTTCCATTTTTAATTTTATTTTAATAGTTCTTTTATTCCAAAAATTCCACAAAAAATATATTCTGAAATTTTTTAATGTTTTATTTAAATTTTTGATTATTTTTATTTTTCATTTAAATTTCTATTTTATTTGGATTTAATATGTGAAGGTGTTTAAGTGAGCTAGTTTGAAGACTTAAGGTTTGATTGTGGGTCTTTCCGATTGATTCTTGATCCAAATTTTTTGAAACACTTAGGTACATGTATATAGGTCTTTTAAATATTTATTTGATTCCTATATCCTTTATTTTGGTTCATGTTTCAGCCTCTTTTTGAAGCTTAACTTGTGTGACCAATAGTTTGTGTGTTTTCTTGATGTTTGAGTTAGTTTGAGCAATTTTGTACACCTTCTTAGGCACATTTTTAGAGAACTTTGAACTACTGACTTTATGGTGCTATGACAATTTTCACTTATTTTTGAATCCTTCAAAGTATTTCTTTTGTATGATACACTGCATGCCTAATTGCCTCGATGTTTGTTTGCTTTGTGATTTGTTTAGAGGTTCACTTATGCAACCACTTAGGAATTGTGCTTCCCTCTTATGCTTAGTTGAGATACCATGCGGTAAATCCTTATCACCTCATTTTATATGTCATTCCATGTCCCTTGGATTGTATTCACAATTGATTAAAACTTGCCATGTATGCTTGCATATCTTTGGTGCTTTTCCTTAGCTTCTCATGCTATTTCTTCTTGATGCTTATGATACTTGAATGACATGAATACCATTACTTTACCTCTGAATTCTTTGGTTTGAATACCTCTTTTCCTTATCTTATATTATTATTTTAATAATATGTTGATGATGATCCATTTAGCTGATACACTAGGATTTGTTTGCTAATTGCTTGATCCTCTCCTATGCATGAATACGAGATGTTTTAAAGCCATGATAGATATGTAATACAATAGGTATTCTTATGATTGGTGTCATCTAAATGCGTTATTACATGTTTACTTGATCATTTCTTTGCCATGATTTTAAGGTTTTCTTTTTAAGGATGACAATGTGTGATGGACTTGTTTTCTTTATTTGATCATTGTTGAATGTGGTGTTTGTGTGAACTTTTGAAAACTTTAATATGTGTTTAAATTGAAGTTATTGTTCTTATTTTCCCTATCTCATTCACCAATTTGCTATTTTTTGTCTTACTTGTTAACACTTCTTGATTAGAGGACTAATTTCCACTTAGGGATGTTTGTGACCACGTGCTTGTGTGATCTTCTTGTTCCCTTTCTTCAAGTTTTAATGTATGATGATAATGATTTCCTTAAGCCCTTTCTACTGAATTGTATGCCTTTGCATCTATTTCACTTTATTTCACCTTCTTATGCCATGTTAGGTTAAGCACTCGACAAATATATCTTTACATGCTAGTGTGCTTGTTTATTTGTTTTCCCTTGTGTTCCTAATGTCCATACCTCTTATGTGTGACCCATATGGGTTGTTTGACATGTCTTAATGATTACTTTGATGTGAAGTTGTTTCCTTATATGTGGTTGATGCATGCTTAGGGTTATAGATAATGTTTACAACTTGTTTGAGCTTTGTCTCTCCTTACTATGCATAGTTTAACCTTTTGGTGATGTGATGAGATATCATAAATCATGTTTATACTTAGGTATCTACCTATTGTATCCTCTTGTTTAGTTTCTTTGTTCAAGTAGCATTGTGGAAGTGTTTTCTTCCTTTGAGTGTTTACCTCCTCTACTTGCCTAGTTAGGTTGTTTTCTCTTCTTCTTGACCCTTGATGCGTTGTTCAAGGTAGATTTAGACCTATAACATGTTAGGGAAATAAGTTAGGGTTTATTGATATATTCTCATGACATGTCCATTTAATTACTTCTCATATGATGTTTTCTTGCTCTCATATCTTGTTCAAGTGTGTGATTACTTTTCCCCTCTTCTCCTTTACTTCTTTACTTGTAAGATCACATGTTCCCCATAGGATTTCTTTGGTTCATTCTTGCTCAATGTTGAACTAAAGTAGACCCTAGGATTTAAGTCCATCTTGCATGCTAACATTATGTAGCTTCCCCTTTATCCTAACTTTAGGTCCATATTGCATGATAGCATTAGGACATTAAGTTTCCCTTAAACTTTTTTTCTTTCACCTTTTTCATCTTTAAAACTAAAACCTTTTCTTAATAAAAATTTAAAAACATCTTAACAATAAAGAGGCAAACCATATGTCATGAGTCTTAAGTATTGGGAGAAGTATAAGGCGGAGAAGTGGTAAGGACCCTCTAGTGGGATCCATTTTCTATTATCCCAACAAAAATACTGAACCAATTCAAAACCTTTTTTTTTGTCTTCAGGCCCTTTTTCTTTGAATGTTTTTTCATAAATAACATGTTAATTCCTTTCTACAACAAGTGTGTGAGTCTCTAAAGGCCGAGCTGCAGTGGAATGTGAAATTTAACATTGTTCATTAAAAAATACAAAACAAACCAAATTTTTTTATAAGAACTATGGTACTCTGATTTCCTTATTGCACAATGAGGATATGTAGGCACTGAGTTAAAAAATTTGGGCGAGTGCAATAAATAAAATTTCTTTTTGTTTGTTAATGATTCATTCATGCATTCCCTTTAGTAATTTTAAGCTTTAGATAACATAGTGGATCCCGTTGAGTATAACATATGTTTAGGGTTCTAAAACTTTCCCTTTGCATAACCGGCCCCCGTATGTTGATCTCTATTATTTTGTGGGTTTTATTCACTCTTTTCCCATTTCCTCTTGAAAACAATAAAGTGTGGTGGATAATTTCACTTTGTGAGTTAAGTCAATCAATGACTTAGTCTTAACTTTTACCACTACAGTATGTGTGTAGACTTCACTGACTCGGACAAGTTCTAGGAGATCATCGACATGAGGAGCCCGATGACCATAAAAGAAGTTCAACAGATGACCGGGAGGTTAGCCGCCTTATCCAGATTTCTATCATGTGATGGTGATAAATCCATACATTTCTTCACGACTATAAAAAATTCCACCAAGTTCGACTGGACGGAAGAGTGTGAGAAAGTGTTTAGAGATGTAAAGCTTTTTCTTATATGAATAATGAGAAAAACATGAGCTAGAGTTATTTTAGAAACCGAAAGCTTAAATTTATTCATCTCAATTTTGAAAGTAAAGGAAACTCAAATACCATTCATGTATTGAAAGGTAATGATTCGGTATTCAAGAGCAAATTGCTAAATAACCAAGTTACATTGTCAATGACAAGTTACTAGTACTTGACTTGTCAAATTTTGAATAACCAAGTACACTTTTTTATCACTTTCTAATCCATTTTTTCCCTTTTCATATCTTTCAATTACTCCTTTTAATTGGACAATTTGAAAAGAAAGAGAATTATAATTATTGCATGTAGAATTATGTTTTTCTTTGTCAAAATCATTTTGTATGGTGTCAATTTCCTTTTTAAGAGATTAAATTTGTTTCTTTTGTGTTCACACCATTTTGTACATAATTTTACATTCATTATGTAATTCATGTATTGCTTCTTGTGTATCATTATCATAAGAAATATTTTCGTTACTAACCTTATCTTATTAATCATTAAAATGATGGGATGCCATTAATGTAAGATTTGCGCATTATTCGATTTCCAAATTAGGTGATGAACTTACAAAATTATTATCCCATGCAATATAGGACATTTTAGATTTTGATTCCTTTCTTTTTTATGACCACTTTTCTTAACAAACTTTGGACAATCCACCTCCATGTGTCCTTGCCCACATTCAAAGCAAGTAAAGTCTGAATCCATTCGCCTTCATTAAAACCTACGTCCTACATGATTCTCAAGGAAGGGATCTGAACTTCAATGGGTAGGACAACTTCTATACCGTATACCAAAGAGAAAGGAGTTTCTCCTATTGATGTGTGCACTGTGGTACGGTAACCATGAAGAGAAAATGGTAACATATCGTGCCAGTCTTTATATGTCACTGTCATCTTCTGTATGATCTTTTTGATGATTTTATTAGCAACCTCTACTGTGCCATTCATCTTCGTCCGGTAAGGAGAAGAGTTATGATGTTGGATCTTGATTTGTGTAGCGGTGAAAATCAGAGATCAAGCTATTAATTAACTTGAAACACAAAAGCAAGAGTCGCCACCGCGCTTTATTATTTCCAAGGGAAAAGGGAAAAGAGCGAAATAAAACCCTAAAGTATGCAATGTAAAATAATACTTAAAAGTAATAAAAATACAATGCGTTTTTGAAAGAGATCGAGAGTTCGGGGGCTGGTTATACAATGGGAAGGTATTAGCACCCAATGCATCTGCGGTACTCCGCAGGAACCTTTTGAAATATCTGTTTTTGGTTAAAATTGTTTGTTTAGTTAAATGGGTGTTGGAGAGATTTTGAAGATACGACGACCTAATGTTGAAGTTTTGACTTAAAAGGGGTGTGAGTTTGAAAATGGAGTCTTTTGGGAAAATTATCTTGAGTTTAGCAAAATAGTAAATAAGCAAAAGATGAATGAGGGTATTCGCACGATTGGATGAGATGTGTTTGATAACATGAAGTCAACAAAGTTAAAACATTTCCCTTGGATTAAAACCACAGACGGATAAATAAGGTAAGAGTATATCAAACCTTAGGTGAAAATAAATCACAAGCCGACAGCATCATCGAAAAAACCTAATGTGAGATAATACTCCAAGCATCAGATAAAGCGCAAAGGCGGTGGATAAAGCTCACGGTGTCAGATAAGAATCTCTGCATCACAAGAGATATACCGACAAAATCTAACAGCACGGGAAACTTATGTGCGTCCGCACAATTTTCAGAAGTTAGTTGGAATTAAAAATAAAATCACAATGCAATGAAAATAATATCTACATAGACGGAATTTATTTACCAATGAAATGAGTAAAATATACAGTAAAAAAATTGTGTACAAGTATATATTTACAATACCAAATATTAAATCAAAAATAGTAAGGTGAAAAGGGAATAAAGAAAAATTATAAATGCGCTATGCGAGAACGAACGCTTGAAACAGTTCTTGGAAACCTTCACAGTAAACAAACTTGTTAGTAGCATAAGTGGTATAAAAATGAAATGAATGAAATTGCAACAATTAACATGTGTTAGTGATCTTTCACAATTAAAATCACCAAACAAACATAACCAAACAAAAAGATGAATCAAATCAAAAATTGAAATCAACTTAGATTAACAAAGAAGTAGTGAAATAATTGGCGACCAAGAGTTCACGACACACATTTAAACCACATTATGAATACAATTTCTCATTCTAAAAAAACAAAATTAAAATTCTCAAAGAACTAAACTCAAGGTATATACAAATTAAACCCCAAAAGAGCAAAACAAGAATTGAGTCAAAGCTTTTTAAACTCTTTATAAACTCCGGGAAGAAACCAACATCTATCCAAGGAGGCTCAATAATTCCATCTTAACATGTTTGATAACCCGACATATCCAACAAACTTTATTCGAAACTAATTCTATCAATGTGGTGTCGACATCGACTTTACAGACAACACCATAATTATCAATAGTAACCCCACTCAAATCAAATGGTATTATCAAAAAGTCTCAATCAAATTAAATCATACAATAAACATGTTGTCTAATGCCAAAGTTCATGATATTTCAACAATAAGTAAAACACCACCATTCAATTTTTAAACAAAAAGAAAAGGTATCGATATTAGAAACTTTATTCAAATTAAACTATATGGCATTGACATTAAAATTAATATAGACAAACAACACTTCAAACAACAACATGTTCTTTAAAGAATTTAACACAACTAATCACTATCCAAAATTCAATATAAAATTAAACACAATCATGAAACATATTTACCAAAATAAATAACACATAGTGAACATAATTTAAATAATACAGAATAACACAATCATTTGGCTTCAACAAAATAAAACCCATACCGGTATCGAAATGAAGCTGGACAGAGAGAGTATTGGACCGTGTGGGTTACGCCAGTAAGAAAGATTTTGCTTCCAAAGACAAGTTAGGAACTGCTCAAAAGGTGACCGACAATACTTGGTTGGAAAATGCAACTCTTTTGAGTTACTGGCTGGTATGCTCAATCCTTCGACCAACTCTTGGTTATATTGATATAAACTTGATTTACGGTAGATTTCTGCAAAGTCCACTCCCAGACGGTTTTCTTCTACTGAAGAAGTAACCTTCAGCATCCATGTCGCAGGGTTATATCCAGATCTGATCTTCGGAACTCCTTCGATTGCCTCAAAATAACTAACTAGTTCACTAGATTTAGGGCCAAGTGGGCCAACATATATAAGCTCTCCTCCTCGCTTCATAAACAGAAGCTCATGAAATGATTCAAATATGTCTATGCTAGGCTGATGGAGATTGGTGGAGGTCGGATGTTGGTGTGGAATTGGAAGACACGGAGGGACCTGAACTGTGTTGCCTTGAGTTATTGTAACAGGTGATAGCGGAGGGCGTATTGTGGAATGAAGGGGTCCGTGAAGGCAGACAGAGGAAATAGCAGCGAACAGAGCGGAGGAAATTTTGTTTCTAGGAGAGAAAGGTTAGTTAACTGTCACGGTGGGAGTTGTGATATTGTTGACAGGCTGTGAGGTTAATGGAAGTTGTAGCCAGATTTTATGGAAATTGAAGTGGAGAGGGAGGTTAACAGTGGTTCAAGGGTAGGATGTGGTTGGGAAGAGCAGATTGGAGGTTCCAAGTGGAAGATGATGGTGATTCAGTGGATTCTGAGATGGGGGAAGTGTTAGGTTGATGAACAGGAAGAGAGAATGAGGTGAATGGCGATGGTTATCGGAAACAGAGAAGGGATGATTTATGGTTGATGGTGATGTTGTTTGGTGCTTACATTGGAGGATATAATGAAGAGATAGGTTGAGTTCTGTGAGAGTGGAAGAGTGGGCTATGGATGGAAGGAGGTGGGGGTGATGTTGATGGGAGAAAAGAAGTTAACAGATGAAGCACCGTCACAGACTATGATTGAAGCGGAACCGGATGACTGCGTGAATATGATGGTTGGTGAGGAGTATTGCTGAGATTGTGGATATGGTGGGAGGGGTTATACTGTGTATGCTTTTTTGTGTTGTCCCCCCCCCCCCCCCCCCTGAACAATGAAAATAATGAGCTATTAAATAGAAGAAGAAAAAAGAAGAGGAAATTATTTCAGTTTGCAATCTGATCCGTTCACCAATTTTCATCAATCCTGCACAACTTCTATCAACCAATCAAAATAAAGCTTAGTTCAAAAATAATTTTTAATGACCAAAAATCTCTTTAATGATAAAAATAACGTAAAAATTGAAAGAGCAAAAAGTAATGCAATTTAAAATATTTTTTTTTGAGTTTTTCTGACTAAAAAATAGAGACCCGAAAATGACTAAAAACGATGAAAAATGGACAAAAATCTAACCGAAAAAATGAAGTGAACACATTAAAATAAACTACCAGTCTCAAAGATTAATAAAAAAAATAATTCAAATGACCAAAATCGAAATAAAATGAGGATAAAAATATCAGGCTGAACAAACATTTACGGTTAAAAACGAGACTTCAAATTGTATCGAAAACATGAAGCGAGTATACCGTCATTATCTACGCGAAACTCAGATTCATAAAATGATCAGTAAAAAATGAAAACTTGAAATATTTTTCTCACTAATTTTCGCACAATACCGAATCACTTTTAACAATCTGTCTATAAAACCGAAATATTTTTATTATCGACATATAAACAAAATGCAAGAAACGGGTAAAGAGATAAAAATGCATGAAGTGAAATGTCGGGTATTTTACAACTGAAAGACGATACAAACTTTGATTTAAACTGACTTTTCTGGTCAACTTAAATACGACTAATGATGCAAAATATGATGAATGAAGATATTTACTAATGATTGTGACCAAATGACAAAATATGGTATGAATGTGCGACTGAAAAATTAAGGGCGAAATTAAGGGTGCAACGGTGTGCCTTGATGAATCAGTCTTCGAGAATCCACAATCAACCGTACTTCTGGCTTGGGAGACTCAAAACTTTAATTGAGGTGCGACACCTGATGCTCTTGATTCAGACCTGTCTCTGCACATGACACAAAAGAAAACAT